GCATACTCTTGTTCGGTCTCAACTTGTGCATTTGTCCGGTCCCTTGAAACTGTCACAAGGTTTCTGAATATTAGGCAATGTGCTCAAATCCAGGGGCTCTCTTTTCAAAGAAAATAGTCTTCCAGGCCTGTGGTTCCATGTTAGTGGATGCAAGGGTATACTTCGGCTTGCCTTTTCACAGCTTCTAGGCCATTGGTAAGATCCTGGCGGTACACAAAGTGTTTACTGCCATTTGCGCGTTTCGACAAACCCAAACAGTGACCCCGAAAAGCGGCGGCGCGTCGTGGATGTGCTTCTTTTTTGCGCGCTGAAGCGTGAGTTTTACCTCGGAGTTGGTAAGAATGGGTGCCTAGGGAGCCATGATGGCTAATATTATTGGCTAATTGCTGTACAACATCCATTTCGCATGCATGAAACGCACCTATGGGGGCGGAGTGGATTTTGTCCGTGCACAGGGACTTTTGACCATGGCATGCGCCGCTTCGCATGCGCCTCTTGCTTGAAGCCTAGGGCCGGGCTTCAGGGAAGATTCAAGCGCTATCAGGATTCTCGGAGCCCTCTTTCAAGCCACCCCGCCAGGGTGCTACAATTGCTTTGGAGATTATGGTGAGGCCAACAAAAACCAAGCATCTGGGCAGATGAAAAAGCAGCAGCTCGGTTTCAGTTGGTGACTCAACTACCCACGCATCCGGGCCGCGCGGGGCCACTCGCTATCTCGCTGACGCGAGACGAGCCGGACGCGTGACGTGGCGATGTGCGGGCACTCGGTGGGAGGTGGGGCATGGTGATTTGTGCTAGATTGGAGAAGTTATCGGTTTTGTTTCCTATGGTCCTTTCTCCATTAGTTTTGTTGGAGGTACTCTTTTGGGGTAGTTTGTTTTGGGAGGAAATACTCTTTGGGATTAGTTGTTTGTTTCTTTTTTGCGGTACTCTTTGCGAGTTCTCATTCGGAGTAGTTTGTAAGGACACCATTCAGGGTTTAGCCCATCATGTACAAGCAGCTCACCCACAAAAAGTGGCCGTGTTTGGTAATAATTGAGGTTGTTTGTTTGGAAGGGTACCTAAGGAAACCAGTTGTCCTCAGACAGAGAGGGAGAGAGATGCCATATTGAGGTTCGTTCAACATATCCTGATTTGCTTGGGAGGGACATAGGGGGGGACTCACTACCGAAAAAATGAACCTACATTTCCCCATGTCCCGTCCAATCGCACCTTTTGACTGTAGCTCAAATATCAATGATACACTGATCTTAAGGTCAACACTCCACCCCTTTACTCGGGTTTCATAGGGGTTGTCATCAACCCCTAAGCCACCCCTAAACTCACCCTACACCAACCCTGAACCCATAATACACCAACCCTAACCCCTTTCCCCGCATGAATCCAATGGAACAAAATCCCACGGATTGTGACGTCGGCGCATTCGGTCAGCCCTTTACGCCCTAGAATGGAAAGGCTTGCCGAGCTGTGGACTTCCTTTGGGAGTCGGGAAAGACGTTTCTTTCCTGGGTCGTGGAACAAATGGAAGCTTGGCAGGACAACCACTCATTTTGTGGGTTGGCGGAACCCCAAAGAAGTTGGAGTTGGGAAGGCTTGCTGAAATGGAAACCAAAGGAAGAACGCTTCTTTTCCTTTTTTGGGGGATTCCCCCAGCCCCCATGTTTCCTCTTCAAAAAGTGGTTTGAGCCATCACCTTTTGGAAGCCATCCACGCTCAGGAAGGCGCGAGCACGCCGGGGTCTCGGCTCAGGGGATCCTCCAGGATCCGACGGATCGGGCTGTTTCTTCTTTTTGGCGCGGCTCATGCGCTATCGGGTACCCCTAAACTGGTGGTTTGGGGATCTGAGCCCAGTTGCTTTTGAAGCGGAAGTTAGCTAGTGTCCCAACCATCAAGCCAGACCACCAAGTTTGGGTCTGGGGCAGCGTGAGATTTGGGACTTGTGAGCCAAAGGTCGGAAAGGAGACTCCTGAACTAAGCCTTTGCCCAAGAAATAGGTCATTGCATAGCTATCCCCCAGGAGAAATGGGTTTAGAAGGAGCTTCCGTGTTACGGACACTAATTGAAGATAGTTTTGCGCACAGAGAAGATGAAAGAATGAATGCATGAACACTTAATGACGTGGGCGTGTGGTTGGGGAATAGAAGCCGTGAATACTCTCTGCGGGTTTTGGCGTTTCCGGCGCTGAAAGCTGCCTCGGGCGCAGCGCCTGATACAAAAATGGGTGCGGACGCGCGAAATTGTCGTGGCGGCAATTAGGCAATGCTGGCAGCGCGTCGCCAATTCTATTGGCACAGAAGTGCAAACTGGCACACGCAGATTTCGTGGCAGGCACAACACAATCGCAAAGAACATAGGTGAACAGATTGAAGACTAGGTAGAAAATTTAGATTACAAGAGGTCGGGTTAGATTGGATTCGGTAGGGAAGATCGATTGATAGATTGGACAGATAGATAAATAGATGGATAGATAGAGAAGATAGATCAATAGATGGATAGATAGGCAGAAAGGTAGATAGGCAGATAGATCGTGAGATAAGGATGAAAGAAAGGATAGATAAGTAGATAGACAGGCAGGTAGACAGATAAATAGAACGGATGTGCGTTGGATAGATAGCTTGCTAGATAGCTAGACAGCGAGATGGCTGGAAGGATGGGATAGATAGAAAGAAGTTCACAGGTAGGTAGATAGAAAGGTGATAGACAGACAGTTAGATAGGCAGTTAGATAGATGAGTAGATAACAGATCGACAAACAATAGATCATTACATAAATGGCGCTTTAGGAATTGTTGGGGCGATTGCTCTCTTGGGGGGCTTCAGACTTGCTGCCACGCACTTACCGAGCATCGATGGACTGTTTGTTTGTTTTGGCAGAAGGCTCGCGGACGTGGAATTGATGGACTTGGTTTGTTGTGAGCTTGAACTTGAGCGCTGTTGCAGTTCGCGGACAAGAAGGCTGTCCTGCGGCTGCACGGTCTGCCTACGCCCTGTGCCATTTCAAGCTGGTCGCGACTGTTCCGAGGGTCTTGCTTTCGAATTTGACATTCCGTTGACAACGTGGAGGGTTGGGCGCGGGCTTGCAGGCCAGTCTTGTGCAAGAGAAAGAGAAGGCAGGAGAAAGAGACAGAGAAAAGGAAGAGAAGAGAACGAGCGCGAAAAAGTGAAAACACGACAGAGAAAGAAGGAAGAAAGAGAACAGAAACCCAAAGAGAGCGAGAAGAGAAAGTGAAACAAAAATGAGCATTAGAAGGAGACGGAGAGAAAAGCTGTGGTATTCTAGCAGCAACCAAGCGTGGTCATGTGGTTCTACAATCGAGCTTCCTTCTGGGGCCACCACCGCTGGGCAGGTGGTGTGTTTCAAGGGCTGTTGTCATGTAGCCATACGGGTGTACCTCTATCGTGCCCAAGCGCGCAATAGGTGCGTGTGGTTGCAGAAACATATCCCACAAGTCTTCCGATGGCCTAACAAAAAAGTCTGGGGGGGGGAAGCCAGTTTGCCACAAACCCAGAGTAAGAACTTCTGGTCGGGTAAAGGCTGCAACCCATTTTGGACCCTGCCCTTTCCGTGCCAAATTTTAACACTTGGATCTTTGGAGCAGCCCTATGAGGACCCTCTACCCCATATGCTCAATCCCAACAAAACAACTCGATTCTCTTCAAACATCAGGTTGAGCTGAATCTCCCACCCCCCACCCCGCAAAAAACAAAAAACCAACAAAAGAAACCACTAAACGCATTATTTTCTCAAACACCCTCTTTGAGCTTAGTCCCGAAACACGCACACAAGAAAGGCCAGGAGATAACTTGTCACCAAAAAAAGATAGAAACAAGAACATCCCCCCCACCCACCTCCCAAAAAAAGAAGAACCCCAAACTGGGGGGAGGTTACCTTTTTTTTTGCCCCCTCCCCACCCCCCCTGCTTTTTCAGTTCCATTTCTTCGGACAGGAGGGCGGGTGTGGGTTGCGCACAAGGCCTGCGCAGCAGCTTGAGCACCCAGGCCTCAGAGGCGTGTGGGTGGCTTCCTCTTTGCTTGTTGTTCTTTTTTGTTGGGGGGGAAAAACCTAATTCATATTGTTTCTTGGGTGTCTGTCGGTTTTTGTTTTTGGTTGTTCGGGGCTTTACACGCGAAGCACATGTTTGTGCGTTTGGTTGCTCCAACCCGCGGAGTAGACAGAGAAAATGGCGAACGCTGCGGGGTGAGGAACAAGCTTGGAAGAATTGACTTGTTCAGATTCCCGATGCTTGCTCCAGATGCTAGAAGATAGGTCCCCTAAAAACAATCAACCAACCAAAAATAAAGGTGCCCTTTCTTCCATTGGTTCATTCGGAAGGGACAAGGGGGAAGGGGGAACCCTCTACATGTCCAAAGAAAAGCAGGGCACCAAGCCATTGCTCACGGAGGGTATAGCAAATTTTGACAGTGGCACATGTGTATCCGCGATGCAGGTAGGGAGCTCCAGAGCGCTTCTGTGCGGCTGGCAAGCCTGATGGCAAAGCACACGGTGAGCGTGCTGATTGCGCGCAAGCAGTCTCCCAGAGAGGATTTTGCGGCGATGCAATTGTCTCCGAAGGCCGCAGAGCCGCCCCGGCCCTCGCAGAACCTGCTCACCGGATTTGAGATTGCATGGGCAGCTGCGAGGAGGTGATCGTGGTCTACCTTCGAAAGCTTACCCTTGAGGCGAAGCCCTTCCAGGATCAATGCCCTTGCAGGATCAATGTGGGATGAATGGTTGGAGAACCAGATACAATATATGTGCAACATGTCCGGTTACTGCCAGTTAGTATGGATGGTCATGGGCAGCACTCGTAGGGACTCTAAGGGATCATTGTAAGGGTTCCTGCATCTCGTTCCTCCAAAATCAACAGCATCCTGGATATCAGCCCAGAGCAACTCTCAACTGCTACCAAACCAAAGCCAACAAGGCAGCCCTAGGTTCGAGCAAGGCCCGTGATGCTGGGAATCGGCCAACCAACCTGACAGAGAATACCGCCTGTTGCA